ATTTGTCTTAAACACAGCTTGAGATCTGGCAAGGGGTCCAGATAACAGGGAAAGTCTCCAGATTAGGAAACTATTTTTATTGTCTCTTGGATGTTGTTCTTGAAACCCTCACGTATTACTCATCAGTTACTTAGTGGTCTTAGCTCTCGATTCTAATCTCTTAGTTCTGTAAGTTTGCCAAACTATTTATTTGGCCAACTTGTCTATCTTTCATTCAAATTGATTAAATAACATATAGTAATCTAAAAATTATGTACCAGAGGCGCGTCAAGGCTACTAGACCTAAGCAGACTTTTATTTATATTTGCAAATTAAATAAATACTAGTTACTTTTTTATGGTACATACTYATTAGCTAAAAGGACAAATATATTTTTTGGTTCGGAAAAACGAAGAGACTYAAGGAGGGAGGAAAAAGCAATAAAACGACAAAATGGCATGTTGAATGTTATATATTACCTGCCAAGTAGTTTCTAACATTCGCGATGGAAGGCTTGCTAGCTTCTTCTATTTCAAGCCTTACTATAGCCTTCATTTCATTTTTTCCAATATTCTGCTAGGATAATAATAACACTGTATGGTGTGGCGCAAWGTGACAAGAAATCTTCATCACTTATTATCATAGTAGATAATATATTTTTTTCTTACTTTCTTCTTGTTGGTGATATTTGATTATTCATTCCCTTTCATTACAAGTTCCAATTTTCAATGTCACCCCAAACCCTCCCTTGACGCACTGTTAGATAATGAAGTCACAGCCAATTTAAATAGGATGTTTGCATGATGGCATAATTTTACTGCCGTTACCATCTTTCTTTTTTAAATTTATATTCCCCCATGACAATATTAAGACAATTGGTGCTAATTAACTGAACAAAAGAAAGTGTGCAAGGGAGTCTGGTAGTAGAGGTCATTCTGCTGTTGCTTCATTACGTACTTTTGCTTTAAATGCTAYCGTTTCTGATGATCAATTCATTCTGAGAGAAGRGAATTKTTCGAGTTGTCKGATTCCGCCTCGCAGTCTTAATAGAACTTTGGAAAAGGGGGGCTCACAAACCCTTATAATATTTTGTATCATTCTTTTGYTATTCTAGTAACGACACAAAGCAATCCAAAATTCCTTAAAACGGAAATCAATCCACTTCTCGGTTTCAAAGGRAGAAGTATCAACTTCACCTGGACATTCACAAATCAATCATGTAAGAGGATCTACTTCGGGGTGTGGAACAAGGATTTTGGTATCATCGACCCAAGCCTGCTAACAGTCAACATCTATCAGAATGATAGCATCACTTTGCATCCAAACRCTTATGAATTCAGTGCTGCATCTTATCTTGGTCGGGTGAGATGGGTTGGAGATTTATTCGGGATCGAACAGAKGGCTAGTTTTGAGCTGTCAAATATTCAAGATTCAGACAAAAAGGATTATGGGATCGAGGTAAGGTGACATTTGCCATTCATGAGCAGCTTCTATTTTTTACATTTGATTGATGTCTGTCTAGTGTGCATTTCGAATTGGTTTTCATTAATTTTACAACTTGTTGTAACTTTAATGGATAAGTCAGACCACAACAATAGGAAAGCATATCTTTCCAATGAGATACTATGGCCATTCTTATAGAACGCCACCCCTCTCCCCACTTAACATCCGTATAGTTTTTTAATGGAAATTTCAGTGTTATAGTATAGTAAGGTACCATTAAGTGCTAGAAGACATTTTCCAAATATTTCCCATGCAAACATACGATAACCGTTAGTATGGAAAACCATTTCTATGTTACTGTAGTGGTAATATGTGCTGTATATAGCAATATTGCATAAGCTTTAATTTTCATTTTTGGCCCAAAGAAACATATTCACATTTACAAGTAACAAAAATACCACTTTGTTGTCCTATTTAAGGTGGATTTCCACGACCGCAATTTTGATACCTTAGGAAGCTGGACGCGTCTAGACGTAAAGGTGAATACACACTCTGTTTACTATACTAGAGTGCACGCGCTAAACCCGTGAATAATATTTAGTACTAATTAGTAGTAATTCATACAGAATCCTTTCTTTCTTGTTATTTGATTATCACTATTCAGTACAAATAAAAAAAGTATTTGTTTCACAGGTTTAGTGCGAGAACTCTATTAATATTTACTCAGTTCATAATATCAATTGTTAATCACCCGTCTCCTCTTCTCCCTACCCCGTCGACTTGTTTTAAAGCAAACCATTCACACCCATCCCTCTCTCCNTCTCCCTACCCCGTCGACTTGTTTTAAAGCAAACCATTCACACCCATCCCTCTCTCCAAAGTGATTTGGTCTTACAGCAAATAGTGATTTGTTTTCTCGTTTACTTCAGCCACCCTCGGTGTTTACCTTTGCTCCAGAGAATATCTCATCCGGGAAAGGAAAGACCGCCAACTTCACTTGGAAATACAGCTTAAATGATATTGATGTCAAACAACTTACTTTTATAAAGTTTGGAGTTTATGAGAACACAGGGCTTTACCTGGAACTGTGCACTATTCAGGTAAGACTTATATTCTCGTCTTTATATCACAATTTCTGTTTTTATGAAACGGGGAAATGTTGGTGTAAGAAGGTCAAACATACAATAAACAAATATACAAACCGAAAGACAGAGTAGATGAAGAACAAATTACGGTACCTGACAGACTTACAACAATAAACCAGACCAATAGACACATGTACAGGCGACTGACAATCAAACGGACAGAGAGACAGATTGACAGACAAAAAGGCAAGTGCTGGTTCTTGGATTGAGTCAAGTCTTACTATTAAAAATATTATTAATCTAACATTAGACGAAGAATGGAATGTCGTTATCATCGGGCTGTTCGTCAAGTAAAGGAAGAGCACACATATCTGCTTTGGACGCAGATTCTAGAGTAACCTTTGTGTTGAGCAACGTAAACCTTAACGATGAAGCAGTCTATTCAGTTAGACTCACAGGGATTAAAAGTCCTCCCATGGAGAGCAAAACTAAGCTGTTTGTGACAGGTAAGGGGATAACCTACAAAATACTATATAAACAATATAGGTTTAGAAAATATTTGAATTAAGATATTCGGATTTAATAAAATAAAGAAAACATTGTTAGCATAGGGAAACACTATAGGGAAAATACTTGAATGATAGAAAAGGTTTTTTTTTTAGCTAAGACAATGCATATATCCATCCATTTTTTTTAGCTAGAACAATGCATCCATCCATGTTTTAAAACAGCGCGCTAAGCATGTATGCGTTTTCATGTATTCCCCTGCTTTGATATGTAATATCGTCTAGTACAAAAACCTCTCTATGCATTGCAGTGTTAACGATCTGCGCAAATTTTTTTCTCAATCTCGAAATGACTATTATGCTTCAGAAGCAACGAACTTGTGCGCGACACCCTTTTCACCAATGAAAAGAAAGAGTGAGAGTATGGATGGACGCGCCAACGACGAGATAGAACAGAATGCAAAAGTGACCGAGGAACTGACCTAAGTGCATTCACTAAGCTTTTTGTTATTACTTCAGATCCTCCCAGAGTTACTACCCATCCTCAAGGAACCACTGTCATAGAAGGAGACACACTGAATCTGACCTGTCTAGCAACTGGTAAACCAGAACCAATCCTCAAATGGTATAAAGACGGTCACGTGATTAAAGACAATGCCGATGGCATATTTGTCATTACCAAAACAAAGAGATCAGACGATGGGACGTACGAATGCCATGCTAAAAATAAAGTTGGGGCGGATCATTCTTCTGTAGCAAAAGTCAATGTACTTTGTAAGTGCAGATACAATCATATTTAATGTACGCCGATTTAATTGCATGTTCTCTGTCATTGGAACAATATTTATTAACATTACATTAGTTGTATCACTAGGTACATCTTATTTGCGTACTTTCCTAAGTAGCCTTTCTTCCTAACCTCCTAAGTGTTTTGCTTTTTTGACAAAACAATGATTTTGCAATTGAATGCGTATACATTTTTAAGGATTCCAACGAGATATTGCACGCTGGGTGATAGTGATATTGATAAGAGAATAGGATACAACCTTATCTTAATATACGTAAAGCAAACCAAGAAAGCTTGCTCGTGACGAGGAGAGCTGGTAAAGACAAGTAACTAAGAAAATAAAAAGTTGTTTTCCATGCCAGCATGATAAATTACAAATAACTGTGCTTTTTCTCTTTTTCTTTGTTATTGTTATAATAAATCTACTCATCCATATTGTTCTATCCAGACGCACCGAGCATCAATGTATCCGGACGTGTCGTGAATAAACACATTCCTATTGGCCAAAGGGCAACGTTAAGATGCCCAGTCATTGCCAACCCAAAAGCAACCTTCGAGTGGATTGTTGATGACGTAGTTGAACGCCAACAGACCAGCGAGTATATGCACATCACAGTAACATCTGAAAACGATTATAAGAATTACATCTGTATAGCTACAAATAAGGTTGGACAGGACAACGTCACATTCGCACTGAAACAAGTTGGTAAGTGCCAATTTAATCACCGGCACGATCTCCAAAAAACTTTTCATTTGAATCGATTGAATTACTGGTTGAAGTTGAGCATAAAATCGTAATGAATTAATCATGATTGTTAATAGATCAATGCTTAAAATAAGCGTAGTCCTTTTCTGGGACGCAATGTCAAGTGCCCAAGCTAATTCCAAGTTCAATAATGTATTTGCAAATGGCTCAACGAAAACGGAATGCAATATGTGGTTTTCGTTTAAGGAAACATTGTTTGTGAGTCAGTAATGATGAAAAGGTAAATTATACACCGTGAAAAGATGAAAAAAGTTACTGACGTTTCGGACGCTAGTCCTTCGTCGGAGTAAAAGAGCTCTTGCTCTTGCTCTTTTACTCCGACGAAGGACTAGCGTTCGAAACGTCAGTAAGTTTTTTCATCTTTTCACGGTGTATAATTTACCTTTTCATCATTACTGTTTCATTAGAAACACCGACGCAGCTCACACTAGTTTTTAGCTAGTTAAATCATCTTATTGTTTGTGAGTCTTAATCAGAAAGTCGACTGACATGCTCCTTTGCCTTTGCCTTAAATATTCTTAGGGCCACCATCATCTCCTCGTGTTGATTGTGAAAAGCGAGAAGACACGACCAACAGCCGCATCGCGAGATTTCACTGGAACGCCCCAGAGGACAACGGAGGGGATCCTATAATCACCTATCACGTAAAATACCGCATTGTACAGGGACATCTTAGTAGAGGGCCATGGAAGTATTTTAATGTCAGCCATACTGAAACATGGTACAGATTAGAACTCGATTGGGGCAAGACTTTTGAAGTCACTGTGACGGCTTGGAATATCTATGGCGAGAGCCCCATGGATTCAGACAACACTTGTGCTGTGACTGTTGCTGAAGGTAAGTACGACAATTACAATAAAAATCAGATTTAAAAGTTTTATGTCGTATTGCTGTATTTGCAGGTGAGCAAAGTAATAAAATAATAAAGATATTAATAAAATAATAAAGTAATATTATAATTTTAATGATATGACATCGAGAGAACAGGTTCAATTCTACGAGTAGCATTGCACTTTCTGTTAGATAATATTTAATTCTAAAAGTATCCTTAAAAACTTACAAGCGAGCTCACGTTTTTTAGCCAAAGAAAGCAAATAAATCTGTAACGATTTTTTATACTTTGCCTCGCACGGACTCGTGCTGTCGTCTTTCGCTTGCTCGGTCTGTGTAACGGTCGAGCTACTTCATCGTTTGGAGATTATATGAGATCTCGCTCAAAGCAGAACATCCAATATGGAGAGTAGGCATTAATTTATTTTGCTAATTAAGTTTTAAGTGAGAATAGCATATTTACATTCATTATAATTAACTATATTATCGTATTTTGATTTAAACAGATCCTAATTCAAGCAATTATCTGGCAAGAACGACACCTAAACTACAAGGTCAGTATCGAAATTTGGGTGAATGAAAAAAAAAAAAAAAACATTGTTGGAAGAAAGGCGTACAGAGTATACGCCTGGAATGGAAGAATATGTGAATGCATAAAGGGTTGAATAATTTTACGGAAACGTGGATGGATGGATGGATGGAATAATAATAATATGCATCGGTCTTTATCATTTAGACAACAGAAAGTCGCACGCCCATGGCGATATAGACGCACGAGAGAAAATATAAAGAACGATTAACAAGCGTTAAGAGTGCCGCGAGACGTAGCCGAGTGCACTATAGCTTGTTAAGAGTTACATGTACATCACTCGCGTTATCTCGTTATATCACTCATCTCGCTCGTGCGCGCGCTATTGACGCCATCGGATTTGAAAATTTAGAGAAAAAAGGCGAGCGCCCGTTGAGATCAGCGTGTGCGAGCGTGCAGCCCATGGGGAAAGGTCATAGGTTTTTGGCCAATCAGAGCGCGCATAATAATCTAGTTATATTATAATTATGTTTCAGCTGCTGTCAAACAGAAACAGCAAAGCAATTCCCCATTACGCCTCCCGTTGTATATTGGTGTCTGCATAGGAGTTGTCGTTTTGGTAGCTATTATCGCTCTGATGATCCGTCGACGTAATGCAAAGAAAAGGCGTACGAAGAGTAAGTATACTGGTCCATGCATATATGGGAAAACTGATTAATATATGTTATTTACATTTCAAACATATTAGCCCTCTTAATGGCATTTTTTTTTCTAAACTATATTGTTTTGTTACAGATAATTGGGCCGAACAGCACATGAGGTAAGGGATATAAAAACCATAATGTCTAAATTAATAATGTTTGTCGCAGTTTATTCCCATGCGTAGGGAGTGTCTAATTTGAATGGCGCATGCTGGTTTGACAGCGAAATTCCGGGGTTTCACCAGAGAAAAACAAAACGCTGAAAATAACAATATGTATGTATATATATATATACACGCACTCATATATAATTATTATTATTTTGTTATTAAATCAATTTTTTAAAGAACCGTTGTTGTTTTATTATGATAATTATACAGCTTCTCATTAATCCCATATAGGTAACTGTCCAATTATTTTATATGGGATTAATTAGGCATTTATATAATTAATAGGTAATGGGATTTCATGCTCCCCAATCAAGAAAAAATTAGACTCGAAAAATTCCTCTGACTGCCAAATTGGACTCGGCCTTCGGCCTCATCCAATTTTGGAAGTCCTCGGAATTTTCCTTTTATTTTTTAATTGGACAGCATGGAGTCCTATTACATATACTAATACCTTCCCCATTCCCACAAATTGATTTTGCCTACTTAAAAGTTAAATGACGGTGAAAGAATGCACACTATAAGAATAGAACGAAATACTTATTGTTTAATCGTTTCAGTTTTAATGCTATAGAAGGCACCCTATGGGAATCACCTTCATCGAACGACAAGCTTCTTCGTTCAGGTACCCATTCCTTGCCAAGAAGACAGGCAATGGTTGGAAGTCCTTGCTATCACATGGATCCTGAATGGAAGATTCCTAGTGATAAAATCTGCATCCTAAAGGTACAGACTAACTAAAGGTCGCAACGAGTATAGCAATATAAGTTTTGGCGAAGGCGGTAAAAGAAAGAAGGAACGAAAGTGCGAATTAAGTACCTTTAACGAAGGAAAGAAGGAAGGACGATTCCCCCCGTTGTATTTACAGTTGTGCCCATGTGTTTTATAATGTAGCTGTTGTTAAATAGAATAGTTTAATGCTTGAATGTATGTGAATGACATAAACAAAGTCAAATGCGATATAAATCAATCATAAGGATCACATAAAAAATCTGAGCCCCATATGAGAATCTATCCCTCGACTCTCGGCCGCAATCTAGTCGGACGCACTAACCGATAAGCTACTGGACTCATGATTATCGGGGTTTACACACGAACTGTATCACGCAGTCAAACTTTCTTTCACTATATTTTTAGAATAGTTATAATTTTTCTACTAGGTCATTGGTAATGGAGCCTTTGGTCTTGTGTACAAGGGGCGTGTTAATGTTAAAGGTGAATGGAGCTTAGTAGCTATCAAAAGTCCTTACGGTAAGTTCTTGACTTCTGAAGGTTGGGTTCTTCGACTTCTTCCCCTTTTCCGCCTAAGTTAAGTTTACATTACATTCGATCCGAATGCACTTAACAAATTAACAAATCAATGACCATTCAACCAAACCAATAGTTAGTTAGAAAAAAGTTAGCTTAATGTAATATGGATTATTTTCTTTGCATATTTGAAGCTGATGCAACGGATTCCGAAGTCAAAGATCTGATGAAAGAATTTGAACTTCTGAAGACACTCAAGCCGCATCCTCATGTAATAAAGCTGTTAGGATGTGGTGAACAAGAAGGTGAGCTTGCATCATTTTAGACATTTTCCCGGCTATGAAGTCTTTACGATGAGAGTGTGTTAAATGTGTTTGATGTGTTGTTTTCTCCTTTGCCACGAGGGATTTTCTCCGGGTTCTCCGGTTTTCCTCCCTCAACATATGAGTCGAGCGTTGTGTGCATAAAATAGTAAATGTAGTGGTAGTGAGTGTGAGTGAAAGTAGGCCCACACCAGAGAAAGCTGCCAGAATAATCAGCCTGCTCTAACAAGTAAAAAAATTAAAACAATATAATAATATAAACAAAATCTGTTGTTGGGAGTTTTATAACAAATATATTATTGGTAATAAAAGCCTTATTTGAATTTAAAATAATTTTCAAGCTCAAGGTACTCTAATTTTAAATTTTTGGAGGGGATGCTTCAATCTCCAAAAATGTCTTTCCCATTCTCACTTTCGTGGATCCATGCCTCAGAACTAGGTGTGATGGACCAGGATAATTTGTCATGTATCTTTTTTTGGTGTAATATTATTGTATTATGAATCAGGTCGCCCATTGGTGATGATTGAATACGTTCCGTTTGGTGATCTCTTGGGATATCTGAGAAAAAGCAGAGGAGAGAACGATGACTACTATTCTGATCCAGAAATCAAGCCCAACACAAATCTGTCATCTCAACAGCTCATTCGTTTTGCCTGGCATGTTGCTGATGGCATGGCTTACCTTGCTTCAGAAAAGGTATGAAAAAGCACTACAATTTGCCAACTTCACAATTAAATGAGTTCATTGGGTATTGATCTTGGGTGTATAAGCGTGAACCAATGTTGCATGCTCTACAAGTGTAGTGGTATCTACTGCTATGGGTATGCTTAAAATTGAAGCTATTTTCTACAAACAAACTATGTTTCGCTCATCTTACCACAAATCTTTACTTTCGTAGATAATCCATCGTGACCTTGCAGCCCGCAATGTACTGGTAGGCGAAGGCCTCTCTTGCAAAATAACAGACTTTGGTATGGCTAAAGACGTCAGCAACGACGACATCTACGTGCGCACTACTGAGGTTTGTCAGTAAAACATTTGTTTATAAAATATTTGTTTGTTTATTTAGCCTGTTAGAATTTCGATATTGAGCAATTAGAAGTAAGAATTTGCGTCACTATTCCTACTTTGAGACTTACAAACTGATGGCTTAACTTAACTCTGTCACAGGGCCGTTTACCAGTGAAGTGGACTGCTATTGAAGCTCTGACAGGAAGCGGCGAGTACACGACACAGAGTGATGTGTAAGTAGGAAAAAAATCGAAAACCCCAAAAATATATCCATAGTCATATGACTAAAAGTTGCATAAAAAAAAGAATGAACAAAACTACTGAAAGCTTAGGATTGTTTAAACTACAATCCCCTATTTAGATTCTTTATAATATATACATATATACATATACATATATTTACATAAGTTGCTATGAATAACTAGTGTTAACTGAGTAAAATTAACAAGACAGACAATTGTGTACTTTCTTATTGTAGATTTAACGTGATTGTGCTTATCCTGGTCCCATCTAAATTCCCATCCAAATTCCCAGAAATTGCCCATGTTTTTTTATGTGCAACGCTGATGATTCACGCAGCAGCCTTAACTTTGTGGAGGTCATGCACTGTTGCTGGTACTGTCATAATGTTCACAGCTAATCAAAGGCTTATCTATCAAGTACCTAACTGGCCAGATTTTGATAGCGTTTCTTAACCAAAAGCTTTAGTACTTTGCGTCATGTGCGCGTCATTTTAAACAACGTTTTGCTTTTTTTTGCCTTTTTTCTCCCTTTTATTACAGATGGAGCTTTGGTGTTGTATTATACGAGATCTGTACTATTGGTAAGGATATGAAATACGTTTAAATTCATTATCCCCCCCCCCCCCAAAAAAAACAACAACAAGAAAACCGTTAATTAATTTTGTTGCTTTAGGTGCGGATCCATACCCGGGTGTTGTCGGCAAGGAAATACCACAACGTCTCGAAACAGGATACCGTATGTCACGACCACATCACGTGGACACCGAATTGTAAGTTGCAAATAGATTTGATAACTAAATACCTAAAAACACGATTTTTTTGGATGTCTCAAATGATCCAAACAGTGTTTTCTTGGGATGGACATCTGGTGTCTTTAGAAACCACGACAACTTCAGGGTAGATCTTTTCAATGTAATTGAATTTGAAGGAACGATGATCGGGAATTTGTTGTTTGCTGCCTTCACGGCCAACATTATTAAACGCTCCCCGTCCCAGAGCAAATCCAAACAGGAACGCCGCCAATGTAGGCTACCTGAGTATGCTATTGAGAATGCTACTTCAAAACAAGTGCATTTTTAGTTATTAAGTATTTTACGTATTTTGTTAGGTACGAAATAATGACTAGTTGTTGGGAGACCAATCCCGATGACAGACCAACGTTCCCAGAGTTGAAAGAAACACTTATGAAGTTGGAAGAAGTTGAATCTAGGGTAAGTAAACACACGCCGGATAGTTGTACAAAGAATGGAAAATGCTATCCATATCCTCAAATAGACTCTGGAATGAAATTCAGGGCACTGATTACCCTCAGCTTGAATTGGAATTTGATAAGGGAGGGGCCGCTGTTAAGGAAAATGTAAACGGGAAATAAAAAAATGAGTGCACTTCAAACGATTATGTTGACCACTTATTCCTTTTTCGTTTTCTCATCCAAAGGACTATATCAACCTATCAGAATGTTTGTACCAAAACGTCAACCAAATACACGTCATAACCTCAGGGATATCAAGGGGAAGAATTGGTTCAGAAAAAGGAGTGGATAGAGGAACACTAACGAAAAGCAATGATTATCACATCAGACCAGGGAATCATGCTATTCCTGTCTAGGTGTCAACTGCCGTTATCAAAAGGACATATTTTTATGAGAGAAATGAATTACGTGTTTCTGCTTTTTCATAAGCTTATAGAAACCTTAATAAGCCTGGTCGGTAGAATTATACATACTGCAGGTCCAAACACACGACATGATGTGATTGGTCGATTGATCTGCTCTGGAATTCTCGATTCAAACCTAGGTTTTCAGTAAGGTATAATAATATTTAAACACGGAAAGTTATATTCATTTCTAAAAATTACCGCATACTTAAAATAGCTGTATACGTTTACAGATAAACAATACAATAAATCAGATAAATTTAGTAAAGGAAAAAAAAGTAAAACAAAAGTAAAAAATTCGTAGCTGTTTGAAATGCTTAAAGGAAATATAGTTTTACTCCGAAATATATGTGAAGCAATATGAAAAAATTATGAAGCACTTGTTTGCACTTGATGGAATTTGATAATCGATCATATATTAATTAACATTTTGTTGGATTTTATTATATTGAGTATACGTAAGGAACATTAAGAGTTCAACAACGAGAATGGTGGCAAAGTATGAGTGATTGCACTTAACTCGTTAAAAAATTTACCAGTGAATTGATAATTTTTGACTATTGCCAAGAAAGTTATAAAACAGTAGTATTAGCGAGGGGTGCTACAATGAAAAGTCATTAACATGGTCGCGATGTACATGATTTACATGCCATGAACTCACGATAGCACAATGCTCAATAAAAGCAGAATGAAGATATATTGTTATTTTTAATATTTATAGATATTCAAATATTGGTATGATATCGAGTTAGCTGCTATCACTCTAAGGACTTACGAATATTTATATTTTTTAAATGTATTTACAGAGAAAAGACACGTTTATCGGTCACTTTTATGATGCTTATTACTTCGACTTTATGGTATCGAATACGTTTAATTATCTTGAAGGTTTTACTCTTTATATTGTAGAAATCGCCCCCTGAATTTTGCCACTCGCCACCCAGTTAACCTTTTTTGCGACAGAGGGGTGGGGAGGGAGAGATGGGATGGGTGGTGGGGTGGGGCATTGTAGGATTGAATTACATTGGATACCACTCATTTATAGCTATCACTTAACATTATGTCATGAAATCCCAAATTTTTTAAATAGGTCTTTGATTCATTAATTACCACTAAGTATTCCAACTAAGTTGACCTTCAGAACGAACTCAAGGTCAACCAATCAGAATTGAGGTCAACAATGTATTTTTTTATTGGAACTTGACAGTTATTCTGCCAAGAGAACCCATGAAATACAAATTGTTAAATCTTTGAATTGATCGTAAATATATCATGTGGTAAAAGTGGTAAAATGACGCCATTTATAGAAATGGCCTATTTTGCGAATTTTTTAAAACTGTATGTTAAAAAAAAATAATAAAATAATAATAATAATAATAATAGCAATAAAATTGGAATTTTAATTGCTTTCAGCAAACCTTAAAATACGCGATACACACGTATTATTGTGAGCCGATCTTGTTAAATACTTAGCATATCTATATCATCAAATATGAAATATAATAAAGTAACATTCGGTTACTCTATATCCCAAAATTACAATACAAATAAAATAAAAACGTTTTAAATACAAATTGTCTCACGTGGTTCATTGATAACAAAGTTCAAACAATCAGTGACTCAATCGAAATCCGAAAGTTTATTGTTCTCAGGTTGATTCTCAGGGTATAAACAAGGCCTTCAGATTCTTCGGCATCATCGATGTTATAAGAAATGGGAATTTTAAATCGTCAACACTGAGAACACCTAATTTAAATTTCAAATTTCGAACAACCTCCCATTGCTCCGTGTGCACCTTGGTTTGCACTTAAGTAAGGGATCCCTATTCATTTATGTTATACTGACCATGCATCTAAAACTTTATTTCATTTATTTTTGAGCCGAAACCAATGTATCGTGAGGCAATCGCTCAAACGAGCCACACCCAACAGGAAAAGTCGTCTGAGCGAGACTACATTATATGTTACAATAACAAGATCTAGATGGCGTTTGTTTAGTCTCTTAAAACCTCCTTACCATAAACTAGAATTCCAACTCTGGCTGCTCAACGTTTCTAGCTTTTTAGTTATTGTATGGTGCTGTGGTCCCTTCTGCATTATTTGAATTCGAATTACATATACAGTCAATGTCATTAACGTTGTCCACTGAAAAAAGACATTTACACATTTACACATTTTTATATTTACACATTTACACTTTAGACTAAAAGATATATCACGTGTTTTATTATGTATTCTTTGCTTTGTGTTCGTCAGCCTGAACATTAAATGTAAAATTCAACTCGTGAATCGAATATCCAGAATGCCCTGACCATTTAGTGAGGATTTGGGATGAAGCCAGAACCTTCGAGGAAACACGCGATATTTCTTTTAGTCTAAATGCGTAATCTGTAAATGTCTAAATGTGTAAATGTCTAGAAATGTGTAAATGTATAAATGTCTTTCTTTTGGTGGACAATGTTAATGAGCAAAACGACAATTATCGTTGTTTTGCTGTGATCCACGCGTGAATAATTAAGTAGCTAAATATATCAATGCAATATCGTGTCTATTCTAATCATCATCATGCATGCAAATATACACTCGACCTAGTTTCCCACATACGGGATATTGTATTGTGTTGATTCTTAGAAATAAAATGGCGGACACTTCAACATAACTTTAAAAGTAACTTCTTACTGTAGATTAACTACAGGTCACAACAACAACATACGACAGAAAATCCCTTGGATCGGATGCTACGATAGACAGTGAACTACATATTATCTCTTGTCTGGCCAAGCTATTTGTGGTTAGTCTGAGCTAGTCTACATGTGTCTGGCAGTCGTTTCATTTTTATGTTTCAGTCTTTGAATATGTCAAAGTCCCTCTATCCATGTGACCTCGTGCATCCTGACAATTTCTTATCAACACTGAAATAATGAACTAAATGTCTAACTATAGTTATCTAGCGTCTTCTTCCGTCGTTCGTACCCTATCTGTATCCACAATGAGAGATGACCGCAAGTGACGACTATTGGGTAACGTACATTTATTATTATTATTTATTCAGTGTTGCGAAAAGGTCATTTAACATTGGCTCAACAATATTTTTGGTTGCAGCATTAAAATGCATGGCTTTAAATACCTGTGCTGCGTTATTTTCAAGCTTTTAACAAATGTTTTGGGCATTTTTGTATTCGATATATATTTGTATTTGTACATTGTTTTCTCAACCTTATTTTTAAGTTTTTGCTGTTGACAATTTTTTTATAAACATTGAATATTCTTCATTTTGTTCTTCACGCAAGGTGACGCATTAAACAGCTTCTGTCTTTTATTTTTCTGTTTCAGCAACGCATAATTTATTTTCGGTATGGTACGCACAAAAAAGCAAGTAAATATTTTTTTACACGTACAAAATGGTAGATTTTTACGTGCGTTTTGTAACTACATATAACATCAACATCCCAAGTGACCTTTTATCACAAGGTTAAATCGTGGTATGTGGTCACGATAGGTTTGAGTTAAAAAGTCTGAAAAACAATAATAATACATAAATTTTCAACTATGAAATGAATTATTAATATTTGGAGCTAAGAAATTTAATAGGATGGCATGTAATTTATTTTTATTCTTGAGCAATTTTACTTAATTTTCCGCATTTTCTTTTCCATTTGTGAAGAGCATACTTGGCCAAATTCGAGTTCATTTTTCTCAAAGCTGCAAGGCTATACACTTGCCTTCCCTTTTCGTTTTGCTGTATCGATTAATTAATATTCGCTTGTTTCAGAAAGTATACAGACACGAAGACTTGGTCATCAGCACAAACTTTGAACGCTAAGAACAATTGCATCACTGCCAAAAAAACAACAACAACAAAAAAAGATACAAACGCTACTAGAAAGTGTTTTATCCAGATATTAGTATTTTTAAGTACTGGTGCGCGGTATTATTAAATTACAGCTTTTTCATCATTATTTACATATTCTTTAATATTATTATTATTTAACTGTCAGATAATAATTTCATCATTTTTGATTTTAAAGCTTAAAACTGGAGCGTATTTAAACATCTCTTTCGCTTTAAAAAAACCATATAATTAATCCGAAAAAAAAAAAAAAAAAACTTTTAAACTTGAAATGCAACAAAAACCAATACAAAATATAATTCATCTAAATTGAATTAAAAATACAAATTTCAGGGCATAATAACATAAATGTAGCTAAATTTAAAATATATTATTTGGCGTTGTGTTATTCATATGATTTTATTGTGACGTTTTATTAGACAAACTCAAGGCGTGGTCTTCTTCTAACGTCCAATGAGATTCGTGATATGTTTATTTGATGCTTAAGGCAAGTTCCTCTGACTTCAGACTCAAACAGTCTTCCTTGACATGGAGAGCTTGCTATTTCTTTGGTATTTGACCCCTTGGCTGCTCTTCTTTCTTCTTGCACCTCAAGGTTCGTATATATACAGAGTTATTAACGAGGCTTGATATTTAAAAAAAAAAATTGTAAAGTAATGTTTAATGTTAAATTTGAATCATGAATATTGAACTATAGATTGTTACTTTCAAAAAAATGCACTTATATTAGATAATTAAAAATTTTAATTAACTAAGATTAATTAATTAAGAATTTGACATATAAGATCTAGATAAGCKACTTTCAATTATTTTATTGGCTTAATTCTTTCATTTTTTTTTTTTTTTTTTTTTTTCTTTTTTTACATTTAATAGTTTATTAGCTTTTTTCAGTTTTGCAATAGTTCCACAATTAAAGATTTAACCTTGTTCACACTTGTTCAGTTTGGCATATTTTGTCATATATGTATACACCTATTTCAAAAAACGTTGGTTGGATATCTGAAATCAGAAATCTAAGACCGATTGGAATTGTGGGGTACTGAGTGTTTTCTCGTTAAAAAAAAATTAATATACACTAACCCAGATAGTTTGCCAGCGCAGATCATCGCTCAAAGTTAGTATATCGAAATATTAACTTTTGCGAACTACATATTAAAACCACAAACAATTTACAGCTTACAACCTACAATTCCATCGGGTCTCAGATTTCAGATCTCCGACCGACAACGTTGTTTGAATTCAGTGAATGAACTGCGTACGTTGGGTGTTCCGCTTGATACCTTTCGAAAAAGCGCCCAAGCAAATGAAACAAAATATGAATATTATAAAGTATTATAATAATATCTCCAAAAAACAAGAGTAATACTCGGCTACGACTCGTGTTCTAATCATAACCTGCATAAGCTATCTTGCTCTATATATATAAATAATTATATTGAGTATGAATGGTAAAGAAACACATTGAACTAATAATAAATGAAAAAAAAAAAAAAAAAAAAAAAAAAAAAAAAAAAAAAAAAAAAAAGGAGTAACATTTCTTAGAGACATCCCTCGATAGAACATAAAGAATATGTCAGCACCCTTCCCTTCCAATCAAATAAGGGCAATATTTGACCAGCCTTTGTTCTTTTGTTTTTACTTATGATTACTAGTATAAGTTTAAATATGTTCAACGTATAGTAAATCCCGAAAGCACAGGAAAATTAATGGCCGTATTTTGTTTCAAAGCATTTAAAAAACGCTTGCCAATTCTAGAATGGCTTGCGCCATAGTCTAGATACAAAATGCGCGCGTAGCTCTAACGTCTTCAGCTTGCATTGAACTGAAGGTCTGAATTCGGACCGAAACGTCTATGAGAGTGTCTGTAAAAATGTCGCTCATGAAGCTATCCTACTTCCGAGCAAATCCTAGTACGTACCTCTAATCTTTAATAATAATAATAATAATAATAATAATAATAATAATAATAGTAATAATAATA